ACAGTCACTCTCACGTACACACACACACTCACAATGGATCGGGCTGCACTCTGAGATCCTTACTCAGTGCTCACTTGGTCTGAGGGCAACTGCTGTGTTAAGGAAGTTAGGAGCTCAGAGATCTGTGCAAGCTGGGATGGAGAGGGGACAAGGACAGGGAATGGAGCAGGGTATTACTGCGGGAGAGGGGGCTTCGACCTGGGGGAGGCGAATAGAGCATCATGACAGTGAGCGGTGTTGAACTGTCAGGGTAATGTTGACAGCTACAATTTAATATTTTCCTTTATTCATTAATGGGAGGAGAATATCACTGGCCAGGCAGCATTTATTGCCCATCCCTAATTGTCCAGAGGTCAGTTAAGAGTCAACCACATTGCTGTGGGTCTGGAGTCACATGTAGGCCAGACTAGGTAAGGATGGCAGTTTCCTTTCCTAAAGGGCATTAGTGAACCAGATGGGTTTTTCCTGACAATCACCAATGGATTCATGGTCATCATTAGATTCTAATTCCAGATATTTTTATTGAATTCAAATTCCACCAACTGCCGTGGTGGGATTTGAACCCAGGTCCCTAGAATGTTATCCAGGTCTCTGGGTTAACAGTCCAGTGATAATACCACTAGGCCATCCAGGTGATGTGAGAATGTGGGGTGGATTGGTGCTGATGGGCTGTTCAGGGAGTGTCAGGATGGAAGGGACATGAAGGTTCGGGAGTGAGCAGGGACACCTCAAAGACCAGGCTGTGCCAAGCACGAGCTGTATTGCCCTCCACACTCTCACTGTGGGCACAGGAAATGAACAATGTCTGTGCCCACATTGGAAGTGGGCAGCAATGTTTTATCTCTGTCTGCTCTGCTTCGGAGCAACATGGGGCAGCTTCAAGGGGCAATTACATTAATTAGGCACTTACACAGGACAGGGTAAAATCATCTACAGTGATAGCATGGTGCACATTGAAACACATGCTGTATTCAACTGGGTAGCAGTTACCATTCCTGGTCAAAAATATTTACCCTGTTATTGGTCGCTGTGGATTAACTGTTAGTGTCATGCCCCTACCCCCTCGTGATTGATGGAAACTTTACTCTGTATCTAACCCTGTGCTGTCCCTGTCTTGGGTATGTTTGATGGGGACAGTATAAAAGTAGTTTTACTCTGTGTATAACCCCGTGCTGTCCCTGTCCCAAGAGTGTTTGATGGGGACAGTATAGAAGGAGTTTTACTCTATATCTAACCCCATGCTGTCCCTGTCTTGGGTGTGTTTGATAGGGACAATATGGAGGGAGATTTGCTTTCAGTTTAAAAGAGTAGAGTCACACAACACAGAAACAGGCCCTTCAGCCCATCGAGTCTGTGCTAATCAAACACAAGCCCCTAAGTATTTTAATCCCATTTCCCAGCACTTGGCCCATAGCATCATATGCCTTGGCATTCCAAGTGCACATCTAAATACTACTTCAATGTTATAAGTGTTTCTGCCTCTCCCACCCTTACAGGCAGTGAGTTCCAGATTCCCACCACCCTCTGGGTGAAAAGGCTTTTCCTCACATCCCCTCGAAACCTTCTGCACCTTACCTTAAATCTATGTCCCCGGTCATTGATCTCTCCACCATTATCTGGCTCAGTGTCTCATTTTGCCTCTTAATGCTTCTGTGAATTAACTTGGCTGTTGGATCAGGCTCGATGTGAGATTTCCTCGGTGAGCTAGAGGCTTTTAATAGGAAGATTTCTTCTTGCAGCTTTGTAGTTATGGAGCATCAGGCAAGAAAACAGCCATGAGAGGAGCTGTGTAGATCTCACAGAGTGGAATGGCCTCTACTGAAAATCCTCTTCACTAGTTTTCAAAACTTTTTTATTTAAAACATCCTGCAAGTTTTGACTAATTTTCAAAAGTTGATAAAAGACAGAAGAATATAATTGGTGAAAAGCCGGCAGAGACTGGAGAACAAATTTTTCTTACTCAATGCCTTTATAAGCGGGGGATCATCGTAGGAGGTTGTTAGAAGAATTTGCAGAGAATGAACACGCACCAAATTTCCTGTCAAGACATGGAGGAATCGTGCAATTTATCAGCCCCTGATGATCTTTGGCCTCTGAATGCTGTCTGTGGGAAAACAGCAGGGAGGTCATGTTGCAGCTGTACAGGACATTGCTTAGGACACTTATGGAGTATTGCGTGCAAGTCTGGTCTCCTTGCTATAGGAAGGATGTTGTGAAACTTGAAAGGGTTCAGAAAATATCTACGAGTACGATGAGACCAAGCGTAGTCTTGGAGACCGTTTCGTGGTGCATCTGCGCTCTGTACGCGACAAATGACAACACCTTCTGGTCACCAACCACTTTAACTCCCTCTCCCACTCCCTGGGTAACATGTCCATCCTGGTCCTCCTCCAGTGTCACAATGATGCCACCCGCAAACTGGAGGAGCAGCACCTCATATTCCGCCTCGGGAGCCTACAGTCCAATGGCCTAAACATGGAATTCACCAGTTTCAAATCCCCCCACCCCGAGTCTCATCCCATGTCCAACCCTCCCTCACATCCCCACCTCCTTAACCTGACACAACCTGTCCATCTTCTCTCCCACCTATCTGCCCCTCCCATCCCAATGACCAATCCCTACCACTCCCTACCTGCATTCGCCTATCACCATCCCACCCATCTTCCCCAGCCCCACCCCTCCTCTCTCTATTTATTGTCCAACTCCCTTCCCCCTCCCTATTTCTGAAGTAAGGTCCCAACCCGAAACGTCAGCTTTCCTGCTCCTCTGATGCTGCCTGGCCTGCTGTGTTCCTCCAGCTCAACACTGTGTTATCTCTTTTTGACAAGGATGTTGCTAGGGTTGGAGGGTTTGAGCTACAGGGAGAGGCTGAATAGGCTGGGGCTATTTTCGCTGGAGCATCTGAGGCTGACGGGTGACCTTATAGAGGTTTATAAAATCATGAGGGGCATGGATAGGGTAAATAGCCAAGGTCTTTTCCCCAGGGTAGGGGAGTCCAAAACTAGAGGGCAAAGGTTTAAGGTGAGAGGGGGAAGATTTAAAAGGGACCTGAGGGGCAACTTTTTCACACAGAGGGTGGTGCGTGTATGGAATGAGAGGCTAGAGGAAGTGGTGGAGGTTGGTACAATTACAACATTTAAAAGGCATCTGGGTGGGTACATGAATAGGAAGGGTTTAGAGGAATATGGGTGAAATGCTGGCAAATGGGACAAGATTAATTTAGGATATCTGGTCAGCATGGACAAGTTGGACCGAAGGGACTGTTTCCGTGCTGTATATCTCTGTGACTCTAAGAACAAAGCAAAGACATTCTGGTGAACTTTTGTGAAACACCAGTTCACCCTGAACTGGGATACAGTGTTCAACTCTGGGCTGTACTTTGGTAAGAAGGTGAAGACTGGAGAGAGGTTACAGCGAGGATGTGGGGAGAATGACCTCAGGGTTGAGGGGCCTCTGGAACGTGGATAGATTGAAGAAGCAGGGATTATTCTCATTGAACAAAGAAAGACCAAGAGGTGATCAGATAGCGGCTTCCAAAATCATGAGAATGCTGGAAGACGAGACTCAGGGAAACGGTTCCCATTGGTGGAAGGATCAAGAACCAGAGACCACTGATTTAAAATGAAAGGGCTCTTAGCAACATAAGGAAACACGTCAGAGATTGGTTATGGTCTAGAATGGGCTGACAGTGTGATGGAGGAAGGGTCATTCAATTGAAACAAAATAAATTCAGGGCCAGAGCGGTCACATTATCAAAATTGCTCTTGCAGAGAGCTAGCACAGACACAATAAGCCTAATGGCCTTGTTCTGGGCTGCAACATGTTTACAATTATCACAAATCTCAGATGTGAAGGACTATCTACATTCTAAGTGAGCTTGCCTGCATTTGCCTGTTTTGTTTTCTTCTGTTTGCAGATTCTTCCGGAGTAGTACCAGGTTTGAGGGGCTGAATGGCCTCCTCCTGGTCCTATGTCTGATAACCCACATGTAGTCACTGAAAGCACCTTCCAATGGCAGATTTCACCCCGATTCCTCTCAGATCCCTTTCACAGCAACTGGTGCACTCAACAGAATGGTGTTGTGGCTCTTTATTCTTGTTAATGAACTGTACAATTTACAATACTCCATCAGTAACAGGGACTCACCTCGCAGACTGAAAACAAACATACCAGCTCGGGGCTTGGAACAGAAACTGATGGGATGGAGAGTGGAATTTATTTTCTGTGGGTACTGTACAGGGCTCTATCTAAACACCAATGAATCGAAACATCCTTCCTCTTTCCACAGAAATCTTCAGAAAATGAATTAGTTCTTGTGAAAAAATAAAGAAGTTGCTGCCAACACACTAGGCCTGTTCTTCAAGGAGGCTTCAGCCAAAGAACTGCTCCCATCCAGCTCCGAATAATGGTAACACTCACACAGACAAGGAATGGCTGGGACTGAAGTTCAAACGTGGCGAAGAAATAATTCAAAAGACCTTTGAATAATCATTATCACTTAAACAAAACCAGAATTTGCTGGTAAACGCAGCAGATCTGGCAGCATCTGTGGAGAGAGAGACACAATTAATGTTTTGAGTCCAGAGACCTTTGTTCAGAACTGGGAGAACAAACAAATAAATTGACATTGAATGTCATGCTCCGAAATATTGGCTCTGAAGGAAAGTCACTGTTGAAACGTTAACGTTTCTCTCTCCACAGATGCTGCCGGACTTGCTGAGTTTCTCCAGCACTTCCTGTGTTTGTTTCGGATTTCCACGGTTTTTTGTTGTATTTAAATTAAATGTTGCTCTGGGATGGAGATACTGACTGTCTGTAGTAGGATGAATTTAATGAATAACCAGCTTGCAAAGTGGATTAAAATGATTAAGAGATTTTTTTTTGAAATGGATAGCAGGGTTGCCAATTTTAGTTACCAATGTTCCTGGGGATTTTAGCATGTGTGACCCAATTCTAACTTGCCCTTACTGCCCTTTCCCATCTATTCAAAATTTTGAATAACGTTTTCTGTCTCTTTCACCAGTGTTAGATTCTCTTTTAAACTGGGATTACCAGCTGCCAAATCCTAGAGGTGCCTGCTGAGTTATAGAGTCATAGAGATATACAGCACGGAAACAGACCCTTCGTTCCAACCAGTCCATGCCATGCACGTTCCCAAGCTAAGCTAGTTCCACCTGCCTGCGTTTAGCCATATCCCTCCAAATCGTCCCTATTCACATACTTATCCAAATATTTTTTAAACGTTGATCCTACTGCCCAATCTACAGCATTTTCACATTTACAGAACATTTAGTTTCCCGTTTTTACATGTTTCAAATATATATCTTTCTCAAAGGCTGGAAACCAGAGATTACTAAAAGAAGAGAGCGAGTTTGACATTTGAGCATTTGCTCAGATCAGGCTGATCGCCCACCGAAGCATCGCACTCGCTGGACGTGGCGGGTGTGAAACAGTCTGCAAACTGGGTTCTGCTGCAAGGGGCTGTGGACAGCCCCCAAAGGGTGTCAGCTGTGGTCAAGCGGAAAGCAAGTGCTCACAGTTGGAGGGCCCCGCTCACCCGACTCGAACACTGTCAGGGTAGTGCTGAGGGAGTGCTGCGTTGTTGCAGATGCTGCCTTTTAGATGAAATGTTAAAATGGGGCCTGTCTGCTGTCTCAGAATGGGCGGGGGGTGGGGGAACACTTTTAAAAACCATCAGGGGAGCTTGTCCACGTCTCCTGGTTAAACATTCATCCTTCGACCAACATCACAATAAAAAATGAAGCTGTTATTTCGAGCACTGCTTTATGGTGGGGGGCAGCCCTGCCTCTAACAGGACAGGATTCACTCCCTTTCAGAAAATATCTCATTGGCCCTATGGCACCCCGAGGTTCTGAAAGGTGCTATAGAAACACAAATAATTCTTCGGTGATGCTTCTGCTGGGAAGGATTATATTTTGAGGTGCCAGGGGAAGCCAATTGAAAAAAGGGGGCAATGGGTAACTGAAGGGACAGGGTTACACTCGGTGACGAGTCTTTAGAGAGCTCCAGGGTGACTGTGTCCTCCAGCTGGTCACGTATGGCCATAAAGTGGAATAACAAAGACCGAGATGTCATCGCCCGAGCCCAGCCGGTCATTGGAGAGTCGCCAGCCATGACTCTTCAGGATCCCCCGGGATCTCATCACCAGGTCCCGGGCAGCGAGGGTGAACCTGTGGGGGTGGGGGTGGGAGAGAGGGAGAGAGAGAGAGAGAGGGGGGGCATTGGGAGGGAGAAAGGGCAGGGTTGGGAGAGAGAGAGAGAGAAAAAGAGAGGGCGGTTGGGGGAGAGGGAGAGAGAGAGAGAGGGTTGAGAGAGAGAGGGTTGGGAGAGAGAGAGAGAGAGCGCAGACAGAGACAGAGAGACAGAGAGGGAGGTGAAGAGGGAGGTGAAGAGGGAGGTGAAGAGGGAGAGGGAGGTGAAGAGGAAGAGGGAGAGAGAGAGAGAGAAAGAGAGATGGGGAGGGAGTGGGAGGAAGACAGTAGGGGAAGAAAGTGAGAGCACAGGAGAGAGCGAGAGAATGAACAGCGTGTAAATTATAATGTACAACACAAAAACAGCCCATTCAGCCCAACTATCATGTTCTTTCCCTATACTCCACCAGGTGGGATCAGTTACCTGGACAGCTGGTTTGTAATGCAGATTGATAGCAATAGCGTGGGTTCAGTCCCTGCACCAGCTGAAGTTACCACAAAGGACTCTCCTTCTCAACCTCACCCCTCGCTTGAGGTGTGGTGACCCTCAAGTTAAACCAACCCCAGTTACCTCTCTCTCTCTCTAATGAGAGGGCAGCCCCATGGTCTGCTAACAGTGTGGTGACTCTACCTTTCACTGCACACAAATCTCTCAATCCATCTCTCAAAATAACTGATCTCTCCTGTGCTCATCTAGTTTGCTTTGCAAAGCACCTAAAGTATCGCTCAACTCTCCATCATAGCTCAATTTCTGCATTAAACAACTGCCCATCCTCTGCTGTAAATCACTCTGGGGTGACATTTTATCTGCTCTTTCTTTAAGGGGGTGTGGGGGTTGATGTCAAGGCCAGTATGTGCTGTTCATCTCTAATTGCCCTTGATTGGAGTGTCTTGCTAGGGCCATTTCATGGGGCAGTTAAAAATCAACCACATTGCTATGGGTCTGGTGTCACATGTAGACCAGACCAGGTAAGAGTGGCAGATTTCCTTCCCTAAAGGGCATTAGTGAACAAGATCAGTTTTTAATGAAGTGAATTATAACTTCATGGTCACCAACATTGAGACAAACTTTCAATTCCACAAACTTTTGATTCACTAAATTTGAATTCCACTAGTGGCTTTGATGGAGAGTTGAGCGATACATTAGGTGCTTTGCAAAGCAATGTAGATAAGCACAGGAGAGATCAGTTATTTTGAGAGATGGCCTGGTAGGTCCTGAACCCACGTTTCCATTTACCTACACCCTCTCAGTTATTCATCCTGGGTCACTACGTGTAAAAAGAAATAAAAAGTTTGATGGCCTAGTGATATTATCACTGGACTATTAATCCAGAGACACAGATAGTGTCCTGGGGACCTGAGTTTGAATCTCGCCATGGCAGATGGTGGAATTTGAATTCAATAAAATATCTGGAATTAGCATCTAGTGATGACTGTGAATCCATTAGCAATTGTCGGAAAAATCCATCTCGTTCACTAATGTCTTTTAGGGAAGGAAACTGCTATCCTTACCTGGTCTGGCCTACATGTGACTCCAGACCCACAGCAATGTGGTTGACTCTTAACTGCCCTCTGGGCAATTAGGGATGGGCAATAAATGCTGCCTAACCAGTGATGCCCTCATCCCGTGAATGAATAAAGAAAAAAAAAGCCAAAAAACATTAGTCCTAATCATAAAGAGAGACGACTGGTCTAACCAGCGGGTCATCATACCTCAGACAAGGGCACAGGTTGAAAAGATGGGACCTCCATGGTAACAGCTGATGTGAGAATTGATGCCACACTGTTACATACATTAAAAATAACAGGATAACTAGGGAGAAGGTAGGACTACAAGGATGAAGGAGAGAACTTGTGCTTGGAGGCAGAGAATGTGGGTGAGATCCTAAATGAGTACTTTGCATCAGTATTCAACCAGGAGAAGGATATGGAGGATAGTGAGCTTTGTGTGGAGCATATTAATATGCTCGGGCATTTTGAGATCAGGAAAGAAGTGGTGTTGGATTTCTTGAAGAGCATTACTGTGGATAAGACCCCAGGGCCCGATGGTATCTACCCAAGGTTATTGAGAGAGGCAAGAGAGGAGATTGCTGGGGCTTTGACCAAGACCTTTGTATCCTCATTAGCCACAGGAGATGTCCTGGAGGAATGGTGAGTAGCTAATGTTGTTCCTCTGTTCAAGAAGGAAAATGGGGTAATTCAGGAAATTATAGACCCGCGAGTCTCACACCGGTAGTTGGGAAGCTATCGGAGAGAATTCCTAGGGATAGGATTTATGCGTATTTGGAAAAAGTATGGCCCAATTATGGATAGTCACCATGACTTTGTGCACAGCAGGGTATGTCATGATTGAATGTTTCAAGGCAGTGACAAAGGTGATCGATGAAGGTAGAGCAGTGGATGTTGTCTACATGGATTTTAATAAGGCTTTCGACAAGGTCCCTCATGGTAGGCTCACCCAGAAGATTAAGATACATGGGATCCACAGTAACGTAGTCACAGTGATTCAGAATTGGCTTACCTACAGAAGGCAGAGGGTAGTGGTGGAAGGGTGTTTTTCAGCCTGGAGGGCCATGACTAGTGTGTTCCGCAGGGTTCCATACTGGGACTTCAGCTGTTTGTGTTTTGTATAAATTAGTTGGATGAACATGTAGATGGGTGGGCTAGTAAGTTTGCAGATGATGAAAAGATTGATGGAGTTGTGGACAGTGCAAAAGTTTGTCAAAGGATACAGCGAGATATAGATGAGTTATAGATATGGGTGGAGAAATGGCAGATGGAGTTTAATCCGGGTAAGTGTGAGGTGCTGCACTTTGGGAGAACAAATGTTAAGGAAAAATATACAGTTAATGACAGGGCCCCAAACAGCATTGATGTACGGAGGGATCTTGGGGCTCAAGTCCATAGCTCCCTGAAAGTGGCCACGCAAGTAGATAGGGTGGTAAAGAAGGCGTATGGCATACTTGCCTTTATTGGTTGGGGAGTTGGGTACAAGAGTGACAGCTTCATAAGACTGGTTAGGCCGCACTTAGAATATCACATTCAATTCTGGTCACCACTTTACAGGAAGGATAGTGAGGCTTTGGAGAGGGTACAGAAGAGGTTTTCCAGGATGCTGCCTGGATTAGAGGGTATGAGCTGTAAGGAGAGGGTAGAAAAACTCAGGTTGTTTTCTCTGAAGCAGCAGAGGCTGAGGGGACGCTTGAAAGAAGTCTATAAATTTAAGAGATGCATAGATAGGGGTGACATTCAGAATCTTTTTTCCAAAGATGAAATGTTTAATACAAGGGGGTATGCATTTAAGGTGAGAGGGGCACAGAGTGTGGTAGGAGTCTGGTGCATGCTGCTGGGGTGATGGTGGAGGCAGATACCATAGGGAGATTTAAGGGACTTTTAGATAAGCACATGAATATGTAACGAATGGAGGGACATGGACCAAGGACAGGCAGAAGGATTAGTTTAATTTGGCATCATGTTCAGCACAATATCGTGGTCAAAGGGACCATTCCTGTGCTGCACTATTCTATGTTCTACGTTGCTGTCAATCTGCATTGCAAACCAGTCAACTGAGCTAACCAACCACCATTATGCAGTATTATGCTATCATATCCCACAAAGGACACAACAGGTGCTACGTAAATGCAAGCCTCTCTTTCTCCAGCAGAATTAAGACATTGTTCCGATGAACAGAGACAGCGTTAATCCATTAGATCGATGTTGCTGCACTGTACCTCCCCCACTCCTCCTGTTTGATCTGTGAAGGTGGTGGGACCAGATTCACCAGCTGCTGGATATGGGTAAGGCTATATTAAAACTAAGCAGAGGCCAATTGGAACTAATTGGATCGTTCTTCAAAAGAGCCAGCACAGTCAGGGTGGGCCAAACGGCCTTGTCCCATGCGGTGGAAGCCTGGAATTTAATTGCTTGACAGACGCTGTGGAGCGGAACACCCCAATAGGACCTCCCCGGGTGTCTTTGTGAGTATTTAAGGTTAAAGTATAAAAGGTGGGTAAATGCAGTGAAACAGTGATTCAATCCAATGGAGGAGCAGCTTGTCTTTAAAGAATTTTTGTAATGGATGTGGGCATCACTGGCAAGGCTGGCATTTGTTCCTTGTCCCTGATCGCCTTGGGCCTGAGTGGCTATCCAGGCTATCATACAGGGCAGTTACGAGCCAACCACATCACTCTGGGTGTGAGTCACATGTAGGCCAGACCAGGTAAGGGTGGCAAATTTCTTTTCTCCAACAGTGGACTGTGGTTACACAGCCACCCTAAGGCTAGCTTGCAATGTTTTTCTTAAATCTGTCATGGGGGGAGTGAAACCCATGTTCCCAGACCGTGGGGCTCTGGAATACTATCGGGACGATCAATGTCCCACCATCTCCCTCCCCACAATGACCTCCTGCTGAGTTGCAAGGGTCAAAACAAACAGAACATTAAACGAGACAACAAGGTGCAGGGCTGGATGAACACAGCAGGCCAAGCAGCATCATAGGAGCAGAGAGGCTGACGTTTCGGGCCTAGACCCTACATTAAACGGCTAAGTTCTGAGGTCAGAGCACAAGGCCATTTCTGAGAAAACTTCTTCCCATTCCTCAATACAAAACAGAGTAGTGGATGGACATCAGACTCATCAACGAAAACCAAGTGGGAAGCAATCCCGTTCTTTAGGTAAAACATCAAACCATGGCCCTGCCTCTCTTCCTAGCGGGATGTCAACAAATCCATGGCAATATGGGAAGTAGAATAGGGAGATTTCCCTGGCATCCTGGAGTCAATATTCATATCGCAATCAATAACAGCAAGGTAGCATCGCTAAGCTAATCTGGCCAGGAAGTCACTTCAACTTGTGGGATCTTGCTGTGTACAGACCAGCTGCCATGTTTCCTAAAACAGTGACTGCACTTCTAAACCTTCCTTGGCCAGGATGTGTTGAGGTTGTGAAAGGCACTACACAAGTGGACATCTGTCAATTCTTTCCGACTGTGATGGAATACTCCCCACTTGCCTGGATGGGTGCAGCCCCCACAACGTGCAAGAAGCTTGACACCATCCAGGATAAACAGCCCGCTTGACTGGCACCACATCCACAAACATCCACTCCCTCCACCACCGACGCTCAGTAGCAGCAGTGTGTACCATCTACAAGATGCACTGCAAATATTCACCAAAGATCCTCAGACAGTACCTTCCAAACACATGATCACTTCCATCTAGAAGGACAAGGGCAGCAGATACATGGGAACACCATCCCCTGCAAGTTCCCCTCCAAGCCACTCACCATCCTGACTTGGAAATATATCACCGTTCTTTCGCTGTCACTGGGTCAAAATCCTGGAATTCCCTCCCTGAGGGCATTGTGGGTCAACCCACAGCTGGTGGGCTGCAGCGGTTCAAGAAGGCAGCTCACCCCCACCTCCTCAAAGGCAACTAGGGACGGGCAATAAATGCTGGACCAGCCAGAGACACCCACATCCCTCAAGTGAAAACAAAATTTCTTTTTGGTTTTAGCAAGTGCTGCCTGGATTGCTGTGGTTTGGATAGGGACAGTGATCATTTAAGATTTCACGATAAAAAAGAAACCCAAACAATTCCACAAACCTGTTTGGATCGTCGGCGTCGCAGCTGGAGAGGACGCGAATGACCGTATCAGCTACCTCCCGGTTGGAGGTCACATCCCATAGTCCGTCTGTCCCCAGCACAATCACATCATCCACCCCATGCTCATACTTTGCAACATCGTACACTTTCACCTGCCGGATTATCAATAAAAGGCGGGTTGTTATCAAACGGACTCCTTAGACACGGCATCACTTACACTGACCCGAACCCTAATGTATTGCCAACACAAAACAAAGCAGGCTATTCAACCCATCAGATCCCTGCCAGCTCCACACACCTATTTCTCTTTAGGACAACAAAGGATGAGAGGTGACTTGATAGAGGTGTACAAAATGATCAGAGGTATAGATAGAGTGGACAGTTAAAGACTTTTTCCTAGGGTGGAGGGAGCTATTACGAGGGGGCACAGTTTTAAAGTGAGTGGAGGTAGACACAGGGGAGACGTCAGAGGTAGGTTCTTTACTCAGAGAGTGGTCGGGGCGTGGAATGCATTGCCGGAGAGGGTAGTGGAGTCGGCCTCATTAGGGGTATTTAAGTGGCTATTAGATAGGCATATGGATGCTAGTATAAGGTAGGAGTGGAGGTTAGATAGACCTTAGGATTAGGATAAAAGTTCGGCACAACATCGTGGGCCGAAGGGCCTGTACTGTACTGTTTCTATGTTCTATGTTCTCGCTTTCTACTCTGTCTCATCGAAACACAGAACTAAAGAATTGTTACGGTGCAGAAGCAAGGCCACAAGGGAAGGGCAAACCTGCTCATTCTATTACCCCAATCTCCTGGATTTTCCCCCATACCCCTGCGCACCAGGGAAACCACAAAGCTTTTATTCCTCTCGCCTACACATTTGTCTAACTTGCTTTTTAATGCACGTATCCTGTAATAATCCCAGGGTTACTAGCTCAGTGAGAAGCTTTGGGTGAAGGAGATTAGCAAGTTCAACGTGTGGCTCATTGGCTGGTGTGGGGATGGGGGATTGGCTTCAATTCGCGAGGCACACTCTTACGGGAAGAGGGAGCTATTTGGCTGGGACAGTCTTCACCTGATCAAATCTGGGACCAGCGCTCAGGCAAGCTGCATAACTAGGGCTTTAATCGAAATACTGGGGGAAGGGACCCGCAGAGGAGTGATTGACTCCATCTATACTTCTCACTGCCTCGGGAAAATAGCCAACATCAAAGACTCCTCTCACTCCGGTTATAATCTCTTCCAATGGGCAGAAGTTACAAAAGCTTAAATGCACATACCAACAGATTCAAGAACAACTTCTCCCCCACTGTTATTAGACTTCTGAATGGACCTCTCAAATTTTAAAATTAATGTTGATCTCACTCCCTGTGCACCTTGTCTGCAGCCGTAACATTGTATTCCTCGTTCTGTTCTATTACCGTAAAGCACTTTGTATGATGTGATCTGCCTGTACTGCGCGCAAAACAAAACTTTTTGCTGTACCTAGGTACGTGTGACAATGATAAATCAAATCAAGTATGTGGTAAAATTAATCTAAAAGGTATAAGGTGACAGAGTAAGAAAGCAACATGGGGAATGAGAAGCAGGCTGCAGTACCAATGAGCAAAGAATAGGAACACAAGAGGGCCCCAGAAAGACGGCCAGATAATTTGCTAAAAACACCAAATCCATCTGATTAAAAGCAACTCTTTCCCTGTAGCACCAAGCCTGAACAGTGGGGTCACCAACTAAAGCAGAAATTGCTGGAAAAGCTCAGCAGATCTGGCAGCATCTGCAGAGAGAAGTCAGAGATAATGTTTTAGATCCAGTGAACCTTCAGTGATCCTCAGAAGGGTCACTGGACCTGAAACATTATCTCTGGTTTCTCTCCACGATGCTGCCAGACCTGCTGAGTTTTTCCAGCAATTTCTTTTTTTTGTTTCTGATATATAGCATCCTCAGTTCTTCTGATTTTTTTTATTCTGAACAGTGGGGAGTTGAGGGTGGAAGGGAGGGCGGGGCACAGGATCAGGCCGGTTTTGAGACAGACCAACACACTCAGTGATTCAGCGCAGCCCAACTGAGGTGACGGGAATCACAGGGATAGAGGATGTCCCAGTAAAGCTGGCTGAAGCCTAGACATTTGAAGGTGAGAGGGGGATTGAAGATTATAGATGGGATCTGTGTGGGAAGAGTTACACATTTACACCCACGGGATAATTCTCACGTTTCTGAAGTTTCTAAACAAGACTGGTAGGGAGCAGCAGGAAGCCATTCAGCTCCTCAGGCCTGGCCCACCATTCATGAAGATCTAGGCCATGGTTTCTAATCCACTTTCCTGTCTTCCCTACACATGCCACCAAACCCCATAACCCTTCACTAAATTCCAACCCCCACTCACGCACCGGTGGTAAAATACTGGCTTGGAAAATAACTGACAAAAGACTAATCAATTCTGATCAACAAAGCTAACAGAACTCACTCCACAACTAATTCTCACTCTGTGTCTAAGCTCACTCCACACTAGTGTTGGATCATGCACTCAACAAATTCAAAGTCTCTCTACATCGACTGGAAATCCCCCTCAACTGGAAGCAAACTGTCCGGGTCCATAACGGCCTGATACAGCAACTGCTCTGCCCAGGACCATAAGAAACTACAGAAGGTGGTGTGCACAGCCCAGACCATCACGGAAGCCAACCTTCCATCCATGGACTCTATTTACACGGCTCACTGCCACGGAAAGGTGGCCAACATCATCAAAGACCCATCACACCCCGGTAATGATCTCCTACAACCTCTTGCGTCAGGCAGAAGATACAGAAGCCTGAACACACGAACCAGCAGGTTCAGGAACAACTTCTTCCTGGCTGCTATTAGACCGACGAACGGACTCTCGAGCCTCAAATAATGCTGATCTTGCTAATGCTGATCTCGCCTAATGCACGCCCTGTGCAATGCAACCTTAATGCCAAAGTCTTTTTGATCTGTACGTACTTACTCACTATGATCTGCCTGTAACACTTGTAAACAAAGCTCTTCACTGTACCTCGGTACACACGACAACAAATCAGTCAGTCATGGCTGTGTCCTACAGGAGAGGCTGGCATTTTGGATCAGCCCCTCTGCTGGCTCTTACCTCTGGGATGCAGGACAGGAACGGTTTGATGTGGATGTTGGAGCAATGCACCTTCAGATTGTGGTCACCCAGCCCTCGAGTCACCCCTATGGTCGCCATGACGCGGGCCTGCACGGGACAACGTCGTCAGGTTAACACCTCCACAAATTAGTTCGAGAGTCTGTGTTGAATCTGTTGCTGGTCCTTTGGTGTGCATGTGCACGAGTGTGTGTGTGTGTGCATGTGTGTGTATGTGCGTGTGTGTATGTATAGAGGAAGTATTACCTATTGGCATGTTCCCCAATACATGTGACTAGACAGTAGTTTGCATAAACTGGGTCTCATAATAACCTGATACATGTCCCACCGCCTACAACTAGTGCTGCCAGTTTCAGTGATCAAATCCCCAAACGTGGCAATCTGCCTCTGTGCAAGACCCAGCTGATACGTCGCACATCCTCCCACACTCCCAAAAAGGGGAAATTTTAAATCAAAAAATAACCACTTTGGCAAACTTTTCAAAGAAAGAATAAAAACCTTGTCAAAAAGTAATCTGGATGTTTTCTTTTGTTGTCAACAATACACATTGAAACTTAAGCTTAATGCAGCCCCCCAGAGAGGGCAGCTCAATGATACAAAAACTAGAATTGGATCAGCCGGAACTTTCCGTTGTTCTCAGTTTCCGCTTTTACTGGTGCATTTTATTGGCTTTATGACAGCGTTGTTCTCGTATGCATCTGTTTTAATTGGAGTCCACAGCTAAACTATTGGTCAGGTTTATTTACAAGTAAGATTACACATAATCAAAAATGCAAGCAAGGTGAGAAAATCACACACTTATTTTTTTAAAAAAACACATTTTCACCAGACAGCGCTCCTAAGATTGAGAGATAGTAAGAACTGCCAATGCTGGAGTCAGAGATAACACAGTGTGGAGCTGGAGGAACACAGCAGGACAG